TGAGTGTGCGCCCATTGTGGGCCAAGTGTATGAGAGGAGGGCACCCTGCCCACCCAGCTGCCCCTTCTCACCGGACTCTGCGTCCTCCAACACGGCCACCCGGGTGTCCCGCAGACACCTCTCACACATTGTGTCCACACCAGATTCTCTCTCCCTTCACGCCCATCAGAACAGCACACGACGACTCCTCTTGAATTTTCCATCACTGGTCGCCTGGCCGGGAAACCTGGGAGTCAGGGGCAGCGACTGCACGGAGCCGACCCTGATCCTAAAGGAAAACCGGAAGTCTAGATCCTATTTTTATTTAAATAACTTAATATTTTTTAAAAATATGTTATTGATTTTTTACAGAGAGGAAGGAGAGGGATAGAGAGTTAGAAACATCAATGAAAGAGAAACATTGATCAGCTGCCTCCTGCACGCCTCCTACTGGGGATGTGCCTACAACCAAGGTACATGCCCTTGACTGGAATCGCAGGCCGACGCTCTATCCACTGAGCCAAACCGGTTAGGGCAAAACTTAATATTTTGTTCCTTTTGAATTTTTTGTCATTCATTTAGTTGTTTAAATGCATTCAATTAAAACTGTTCATTAAGTATATTCGATACATTTTAAAACCCATTACAGGATATTTATGGCTTTATCTTGATGATTGGATTTGGGGGGCTTTCTGAAATGTTGTGCCTGAGCTGAACGCCTCCTCCCTCTCCTCACCCTGACCTTGACCATCGATCACTCAGTAAACACCTGTGGCCAGAAGCCTATAAGGACAAGAAGCCAATGCACCATGGCGACGGGAAGCAGAGTCCTGTGGTCCTTACTGCCTGGGTTCAAGGCCCAGCTCCACCTGCAGACGAACCATTTCACCCCCCTGTGTGAGGGCAGGGGGAAGGTGCCCCCTTCACAGGGGCTGCTGGGAGGATCATGGGAAATGCAATGCCAAGCCCTGCACCCTCCTCAGCCGGGTCCTCGCTGACTTCTGCTGTTATCATTGTGGTTATCACTACAATCAGGCTCCCCAGCCCCTGCTCGCTTTGCACCATGGCTGCCCTGTGAGTCAGCCCAACTAGAGTGTCAAAGACACGGGGACCATCCGAATGCTACCAGCTGAGATCTGTTCCTTTTTTTGTTTGTTTTTAACCCTCACTCAAGGATATGTTTAGTGATTTTTGAGAGAGAGAGAGAGAGAGAGAGAGAGAGAGAGAGAGAAACATTGATGTGAGAGAGAACCAGCAATTGGTTGCCTCTCGTGCATGTCCAGACTGGGGATGGAACCCGACCTAGGTATGTGCCCTGACTGGGAATCGAACCCGCCACCTTTTGATGGGTGGGATGACGCTCCAACCAACGGAGCCACCCGACCAGAGCTCTCCCAGCTTCTTGGCAAACCCAGCTTCCCACGGAGGAATCCGAGGGTCCCGCTGCAGAACACAAGGGGCCAACAGGCCAGCAGCAGCATCCTCCTGAAGGCCCGGGGGCTCCGGCCGGTGTCCTCACTCTGTCCATGAAATGAAGCCGCTCGCCGCCCCGGGCCGCCCCTTGCCAGAGGCCGGGACCGCGTCACGGAGCAGAAGACCTTGAGCCGCTAAGTGGCCTGACCTAGACGGGCTCGGAGTATTTTTAGCCTCTGCGCAGTTTCCATCACCTGTGCTGGGCTTTCCGCTGGCAGAGCCGGGAGGGGCCCGGGGGAGGCAGGAGGGATGCTTCTCATAGCAGCCGGCGGGGGCGGGGGCGTGCACGCTCTTTCTGAATTCTGCTGCACAAGCCAGGTCCATGGGCGTGCAGCCCGTGTAGGGACACGGGTTCCCAGACTTACAAGGACCCCACCCTTGGTGTAGTGCCCTGTGGTTGCCATCTTAAAATCGCTAGTCATTCTGGCCAAAACCGGTTTGGCTCAGTGGATGGAGCCGTGGACTGAAGGGTCCCAGGTTCGATTCCGGTCAAGGGCATGTACCTTGCTTGCGGGCACATCCCCAGTGGGGGGTGTGCAGGAGGCAGCTGGTCGATGTTTCTCTCTCATCGATGTTTCTAGCTCTCTATCCCTTCTCTCTTCCTCTCTGTAAAAAATCAATAATATATATATATATATTTTTAAAAATTAAAAAAAAATTTCTAGTCATTCTGAACAAGGGACTCCCCCACACCACACACACACACACACACACACACACACACACACACTTTCATTTCTCACTGGGCCCTACCAGTCACATAGCCCTTTCCGTCTGTACGTCTGTCTGTTCACAAAACCAAGAAAGCTAAACGCAGGAGGCGGCTGGTACCCCTGCAGCAGGGCGCCTTCCTGCAGGGGGATGGGGGGGGGGGGGGGCCCAGGCCAAAGCCACTGCCATGAGGCATGGATCCCCGGACTTGGCCAGAGAAACCTTCCTTTGCGCCTCCTGCCCGCCCCGCCCCTTCCCATGGCCCCTCACATGCAGGGCTGGGCTGCGGGAGACTCTTGTGAACTGTAGAGCCGAGTTCTGCTTTGCTAACCGTTTCCCCGGCTCCATGTTTAAACTGGTCCACAGACTCTCTGTCAACATCATTTTCCTGGCTCTGCGCTGCTCTTTGTTCTCTGAAATTCACCTTATTTTCAAGCTGGGTGACGGGCCCCCTCTCCTCCCTGAGAATGTAAACTCGGCATGTCCCTCAGTGGACATTTTTAAAGCCATCACAGGTACTGAGGTGACCGTGGTTAATAACGTCGACGGCGGGTGTACAGGGGCACGTTTCCTTACCTGTGTACTCTGTTTCCGAACGCAGCACCCAACGTTCACTCTCCTTCGGTTTCTCCTCGCGGGGTGTTTGTGGAATGGAGGGAGGTTCGCCTGTACTGAGTGCTTCCTCTGTGCTGGGGGTTTCGCCTGCATCTTCTCAGTTAGTTCTCCTTCCAGCGTCTGGCCTGCGCCTGCAAGGGCCCCAGTTAGACTCTTTTTTTTTTTTTTTTTAATATATGTTTGTTTATTTCAGAAAGGGAGAGGGAGAGAGAAACATCAGTGATAAGAATCATTGACCAGGAGCCTCCTGCATGCCCTAACTGGGGATCAAGCCCGCAACCCAGCATGTGCCCTTGACTGGAATCGAACCTGGGACCCTTCAGTCCGCAGACCGACGCTCTATCCACTGAGCCACACCGGTCAGGGCCCCAGTGAGACTCTTAACTGTGAGAGGTAGAGCGGTCCCAGGTCCTGCAGGAGGAGGAGGAGGAGGAGGAGCTGTGGAGGTGGGAAGGGCCCAGAATGGTGAAGAGAGGGTGAGTGCCAGGTGGGATGGGGAGGGTGGGTGGGGGGGGTTGAGAGGTGGGGGTGAGGGTGAGGGGGTGTCCCCCAGCTCCATGAGGGAGCCCAGAGGATCCTTGAACAGGCCGCAGTGAAAACAGTGACAGAACAAGACTCTTCTTGCCGCAGCCCTGGGGCGTGTGGGTGGAAAGGGACTGAGATGGAGATTGAGGGGCCTCGTGGGAGGCCCAGCCCGGGGCACAGCTTGGAGAGGGGGAGACACGGGGGGAGTGGGCCCTGGGAGTGGGCGGGGCGGCCCCGGGGCCGGTGCACGGAGAGCGGCCGGGACGGTGCAGCCTCCCTCGGGGCGCGGCGAGGCGGCGCAGGAGGGGCTGCTCCGCCGGTGGCACCGGGCGCAGGCCCGCACTTGCAGGCCCGGACCGGGGACTTGAAAGCGCCGGCGCGCCGCCCGGACCTGCCTCGCGGGGCGTCACCGCGGCACTTTGGGCGGGAGCTGGAGGGAAATCTCCGCCGCCTGGGGGAGGGGGTGCGGGGGAGAAGGGAGGCCCACCCAGACCCCGGGGCAGCTGGGGGAGACCTGGGGCGTGGGGAGGGGAAAGGGCCCGCCACGCGGGGGCTGAGCTCCAAGGAAGCCTGCGTTCTCGGAGCCTCCGGCTAAGAAAGAATCTTTGGCCGAAACCGGTTTGGCTCAGTGGCTAGGGCATCGGCCTGCGGACTCAGGTTCGATTCCCGTCAAGGGCATGTACCTTGGTTGCGGGCACATCCCCAGTGGGGGGTGTGCAGGAGGCAGCTGATAGATGTTTCTAACTCTCTATCCTTCTCCCTTCCTCCCTGTAAAAAATCAATAATAATAATAATATATATATATATATATATATATATATACATATATATATATATATATATATATATTTTTTTTTTTTTTTTAAAGAAAACATTATTGCCCCATCTACGCCTGGACTTTCTGCATGTCGGGCGCTGGCTTTATTTGCTTCGATGTCATCTAATATTGAGAAGGCCTTTTATGATGCCGGAGCTGCCAGAATTGGGGTGGTGAAAAGGAACCCAATGTTTCCCAAGCTCCAGCTGTGCGCATGCACAGTTTCCACCGCTTTTGGAGTAGCTGCTGTCCACACCCCCGTTCCGCAGGTGAGGAAATGGGAACTAAGGGAGCTCTTCTCCCCGGAGTCTGGCCCAAGGTGTGACAGGTGGCCGGATGGGGTATGCACAGGCTCCGGCGGACCCCAGAGCACCCTTTTTCCATCCTCTACGGCGAGCCAAGCAGGGGAAAGCGGTTTGCAAACTGCTGTTCCGATGATTCCCCCTGTGGTTGTGCCTGCGTTTGGGTCACAACCCGGGGAGGGAGGGTGGAACCGGGTCCCTGGGCGCCCAGCCCGCTCCAGCCCAGCCAAACCTCGGCGGAGGGGCTCGGGGGCGAGGTCCCGGGCCACGCCCCTCACCTGTTGGCCCCGCCCCCTCGAGCGGACCAATGAGCTGCTCCGCGGGGGCGGGCCCAGGTGCGGAGGGGAACGTGGGCGGCTCCCGGCGCTTGAGTGGCAGCGCGGCGGGCGAGTGGGAGGGGCGGGCGTGCGCAGTCGGCTCGGTCTCGGGCCTCGCGGAGCGGCCGGGCGGGCCCGGCGGCCGGGGCGGTGGCGGCGCTGGGGAGGGCGGGCCGGGCGGGGCGGGGCGGCCGGCGGCTGGGGCGGGGCCACGTCCGCGCCCCGCGTCCCGCTCCCATGGCCGCCCCCGGCTCCCCGCGCTGCCCCCTCTCCCGCGGGCCGCGCCCCGGGCCCCGCACTGACGCCCATGGCGCCGCCCGCCGCCCGCCTCGCCCTGCTCTCCGCCGCCGCGCTCACGCTGGCGGCCCGGCCCGCGCCCGGCCCCGGCCTCGGCCCTGGACCCGGTGAGTGAGCGCCTCGACGCCGACCCCGTGCCAAGCGAGCCCAGGGCGCCGCCGGGAGCCCGGTCCCTTCGCACTACCTTCCGGGACCCCCTCCCCGGGCCCCTCAGCGACGCCCCTCCGGCCGGGCCGGCGCCCCCTCAGGACCCGGACCCCCAGGCCCCTCAGTGCCGCCCCCTCCGGCCGGGCCGGCGTCCCCCCAGGACCCGGACCCCCAGGACCCTCAGTGCCGCCACCTCCGGCCGGGCCGGCGCCCCCTCAGGACCTGGACCCCCCCACTCAGGCCCCTCAGCGACGCCCCTCCGGCCGGGCCGGCGCCCCCTCAGGACCCGGACCCCCCTCCCCAGGCCCCTCAGCGACGCCCCCTCGGGCCCGGGGGTGCCACCTGCCTCAGGACCCAGGAGTCACCCCGCATCGCCCCCCGGGCGGGGCCGCCCCCTCTGCCTCAGTGCCTCCCGGGACCCCGTCCTTCAGCCCCTCGGGCCGGGACCCTCCCTGCCGCCGCCTCTAGACGCCGCCCGCCGCCCCGCGCCCCTCGGCGGCCCCCTCCCGGGCCAGGGCCCCCGCGAGCCCCTCCACCCCGCCCCGCGGACCAGCCCTCCGGAGCGGAGCGGAGCGGCTCCACGGCCCCACCGGCCGCCTCTGCCTTCGGAGGCAGCGGGGGACCTGCCGGCCCTGCGGTCCCAGGTCCCGGGGCCGCTGATCGCAGCCCGAGCGCCCCCCCCGCCCCCCCCCCCACCCCCAACCTCCGGCCGCTTTGAACTTGGCGGTGACTCAGGTGCCGGCCCCGCTCAGAGGGGAGGGAGGGAGGGAGGGGAGGAAGGAAGGAAGGAAGGAAGGGTGATGGGAAGCATCTCCCCCGCAGAGCTCAGGGATGCCCCCTGCTTTGAACAGGGTCACCGCCCCCAAGGCCAAGGCCAGGTCTTCCCGAGGTGGGGCCCTGGCCCCGGCTGGGAGCCGGGACTCAGCTGCCACACACGCCCTTCCTCGCAGCAGAGAACTCTTTCCAAGTTGAAGAGAGGCGGGAGGGCGTTGTCCGGCCCGCTCGCTTTTCCCTGCAGGTTGTCTGGGCGTTGGGACTTGGGGCGCTGGTGAGAAAGAAGGCAGGAGCTCATTCCCGGGGGTCCTAGCGGGAAGGCCCCCCGCGGGGGTTCGCCCAGTGTGGCAGACTGGGATGCTGGGAAGACAGGATTATTATTATTATTATTATTATTATTGTTATTTATTACTGCTGAAAGAAAACTCCAGGGTTATTTTGTTTACTCACCAGCGTGGATGGGGAAAAGATAAGACTTGGTGTTGTCACTGACCGTGAGTGTGACTTGGGGCCCCGCCTTCAGTTCTCTGAGCCTCTGTTTCCTTTCCTCGTCTGTCAAGGTGGGATAATAATGACAACTGCCGTACAAGCAGGTTGTGGAGATTAAGTGATATATTGTATGTACACCCCGACGTATAGAAGGCCATCGAATCGATAGACTTATTTTTAATAATACTTTTTTCTTTATAGTGCTTCCCAGTTCACCAAGTGCTGACACCTCATTTGCCCTGAGAATGCTCTGAGCTTCCAGTCTGATTAATCCCTGTAAAAGGCACAGCTTGGCTTCAGATCAGTGTGTGGAGTGGGGTGGGGGGGTGGGTGGGAAGGGGGGACAGTGTCTCCAAGTATTGTAAACCTGAGGCGTAGGAGACTTCTACAAAAACTTCCACCCAAGTTTGATCACTTCTGTTTGCCGTCCGTGAGGAATGAAGGAGGGACTTGCTGGGAGCCAGGGTATATCAACATGACTGTAACCTAGTAACCCCTTAGCACCACTTTGCCATCTGTGTGGTCAGGATTTAATGTCCTCCAAGGAGAGAGAGGTGCTGGTGGAAATAAACCGGACTCCTTCTGGGAAGAGCAGAGCAGTAGCTCTGAAAAGCGTCGCATGAGCCAGCTCTGCGCACACTGCTTGTTAGAAGGGGCGTCCACTCCTCAGACACCTTTGCTTCCCGAGGCAGGGTCAAATGCAGCCGCTTTTCACAGTTTGAACCTCAGACCTTGGTGTGCTTTTATTTGGGCGTCTGGGGTAAGGACAAATGAATAAATTGTGAAGTGACTTAGGATAAGTGGCCCACGATCCCAATTCATTGAGCCTCATCCACTCTTTTTTTTCTTCTGTTCTGTACTTCAGAGCTTCTGTGACTTCCAGGAAGCAGTTTTAGGGAGATACCACATGGCACTGAGCATCACATCTAGAGCCTGCCCACTAGTTTTTAAAATCCTTTCCAATAAAATAAAATAAAAAGACCAAAAAAAAAAAAAAACCCCAACCAAACACATTTTTTTCCGAGGATATACCAAACTTACCATTTATATTTTTTGATACTGTAATTTTCTCTAGAATTTTGTGGATGGAAAAAATTATTTCAAGTACTTATATTCTGTACAATTTTGTAATATTTAAATTACTGGTGGTTTGCAGTTTTGAATGCTGACTTTTATAAAAACAGTTAGCTCATTCCCCATCAATGCTACTTCTAATTACAGTGTATGGCCAACCCCAAATGATCTCCTTTCTCCTTCCCATTCTCCCTCTGAGACTCTCCTCTTCCTTCCCAGCTGATAAGGAGGAAGATAGAGGTGAATGGTGGAATCTAGACTCCCTTTTGTAGGAGGAGAGCAGCCAGGGCCATGGGGCTGATGGGCTTTTCGAAGTTGAACTGCCATCTGGAATTTATTGACCTGCAGGGGAGAGCCAGGAGGTGGGAAGAACAGAGAAACCTGGGTGGACTTGGGCTGTTTGAGTTTTCTGGCAAAGGCACACTACCTGCTTGGCTGTTTCACAACATTTGGCCCTCAGGTGTGCAGCAGCAGAGTTTCTCAATTCAGGTTACATATGGCGTGAACTGCGTGTTATAGCTGATGCTCATTCTCCTCTCAGTCCTCACCTGCAATTCATCCTATTAGCCAGCAGTGTGTCTTTGCCATAAAACCTGTGAGTTCAGTTAACATGGAGAGCTTCACACTGGACAGAGCCCTGTCTCTCCTGGGGACTTCATGTTAATAGAATTACCTGTATGCAACAGAGGGTCTGAGAGGAGTAAAGTGGACTGGCGTGCATAACAGTGACTTTTGTGCTTTGACTATTTTAAGAAACACAAAACTGTCAAAACTCGCCCGGTATCAAAGAACCCTGGTCTTTTTGTGAGCATTTGATTTGGCCCCTAGACAAAGCTATTTAAAGGTTTGAGATATGCAATGAGACATTTTAGAAATCTTTAACACAAAAAGAAGTCCCACTTAGGCTCATTACTAATAACAAGTTGTTGCACTTAATAGAGATATTACTGATACGCTTCCATATGATTGAGCATAGTTGGATCAACAGCAATAAACAATGAAGATAAAATGTATTGCTTTAAATACCTTCATAGTACAGATTAGGGATTTTTGGTGGTGGGCTATATGCCAACTTTAGGATTTTTGAGCCTGTAATTCCATCTAGGTCAGATGTTGGCAAATGTATTTTTATAAAGGGCCAGACTAAATAATTTGGACTGCATGGGCCATATCTGACTTTGTAGAGCAAAAAACAGCCAGCCATAGACAAAATGTAAATGAATTGGCATCGCTGTGCCCCAATAAAACTTTATGGACACTGAAATTTAAATTTTATGCAATTTTTATATGTCACACAAATTGATTGTTTTCAATCATTTAAAAAATTTAAAAATCCTTCTCAGCTCATGAGCCATACAAAACCAGGCAGTGGTCCAGGTTTGGCCCACAGGCTGTACTTTGCCAAGTCCTGTTCTAGGTCCGTATGCATTGATTTAGTTTCACTGGCCTGGAAAGGTGACAAGGAGGCTTGATTTTGGTGAATGAATGCACCCTTTACCTTTCACTATTCACTAACTTTAAAAGACGTATGGGAGAAGTGGTTAAAATGGTAAATTTTATGTTATGTGGATTTTACTACCAATTAAAAAACGTTACATATGGGGGGAAGTTCACGCACATGCATTTGGATATTTAATAAGACTTTTTAAAAAATGCTTTAAAAAGAAATTCAGTATGGTTCAGTGTGCGCTTCATAAAGAACATAGTGCCTGCCTTGGAACTGGTCCATGGTTTGTTCAGCGATGCAGATGTTGCTGGAACAAACCGTTGAGAGATCTGTTTCTCAGAGGAAAGCCTAGGCAGCAGGTGGCACCAGCCCCGAGACTTAGAAAAACAGCCAGGGAAGAAAGAAGAAGAAAACAAACTTCTCTCACTGTCCTAAACAGTTGTATTTTATTTCCATGGTTCTATCGTCGTTTTTAAAGTGGCCTTTAAAAAAAACAGCAGTGTGCTTGGGCTGGTTATTCTGTTTTAATTAAAACATTTTTTGGGGGGAAAAAGAAACACAAATTGAAACATCCTAACATACCAAGTTGATTGTGTTTGTACTGTGGAACAGTTAATGCAAAACACTTGAGGGAGGCCGGAAGTTTGGATCTGTAGTTTTTGTCTGAGTTTTTGCCTCCAGAATAAGGACAACAGAGGAGGAAGGGAATAAAAGTGTCCCTTATAAAACCTACCTACGAAAGTTTGGAAGTGAGATCTCCTCAAGACCCCTCTTCCTGGCTGGCTCCCTGTGCTGCAGTCCCTGAATGGGTGGGAACAATGATTGGCATTCCTTCCATATTCTGTTAGACCTTGAAAATCCAGCTGGAACCTGGAAGTATGCATCTAGAGTCTAGACAGTGATCGGCAAACTCATTAGTCCACAGAGCCAAATACCAGCAGTACGAGATTGACATTTCTTTTGAGAGCCAAATTTTTTAAACTTCTTCTAAAGCCACTCCTTCAAAATAGACTCGCCCAGGCCGTGGTATTTTGTGGAAGAGCCACACTCAAGGGGCCAAAGAGCCGCATGGGGCTCGCGGATCTAGGAGCAGCTCCAAGTTATTCTCTGTGTTTCCGTCTCTCTGTTGCCTTCAGTGTCTTCCTGTCATTCTCACCTCTGATATATTATCCTGGA